GTAATATGCTTAATTAGTAGGGATAATGAGAAGATGAAAATATAATGTATCAGTGAAGGTAAACAAAAGCAATTCAATTTGGAGTCAATACGAGAGCTCAGTGCAAAAATTCTTTATTCTTTTTTCTTCTGCTCACAAATTTCGAACACTAAACGAACTCTCTTGGTCATGGGATTTAACGAGCTGCCCCTTACCCTTGTTAACGTCGTGCACGTCATTCTCCTTCTTTCTAATACAAAGAGTATACATGTTTTTACGAACTACTTCCACAAAACAGAGAAATTCTTAAGAAGTTAATATTCTTTAAGTTAACGAAGGCATTTCCCACCTCTTATGGAAAATTCACTATAGGACCGCCTCTGTTGTCTAGTGGTCAGAGTTTCTGACTACAAATTAAGAGGTCCTGGGTTCGATTCACGGCGCTACCAGATTTTCTGAGAATTATTGGGTCTGGAACGGGGTCCATTCAACCTCATGAGGATAATTGAGGAGCTATTTTAAGAAAATAGCGGCTCTGGTCTAGAAATCCGAAATTAACGACCGTGGGGATTCGTTGCGCTGACAATACAATAACCTCTAAAGTTGGCAATAACTTCGCCGGCAAGCGGCGGTCGCTCGGTTGGTATAGTTCGCTTACGGACTAAAACCACGAAATATTGTTCGCAACAGTTCATCACTGTCACCCCTTGTTTCCAGCCATCGGTAAGCAAACCGTAAGGAAACATACTGTTTAGTATAACTGAATTTTTGTGAGAGAACAATATAAACACAGACTTTAAAGAAACAGGATTTGAGAATGTGGAACTGGTTCGTTTGGCCCAGAATCTAAAGCTAGCTTTTGGAAAGAAAGTAATGAAAATTAGAGTTCAAGAAAAAGTAGGAATTTCCTGACAAGCTGAATGCCTGTTAACTTCTCAAAAAGGGTCCTCTTCAGTTTATTCTGTTAGCCCGACGACACCATTAGAAGGAATTAACAAACTCCAAGGAATATATTTTTCTCTTGATAGGTTAAATAGTCACTCAGCCGATTAAGAAATTTTCGGTTTTTCAGAAGTACAAGCTTCATTACTCTGTTCCCGATGGCTGCTTCTAGACTCTGTCTGAAACAAGACAGTCTAGTCAACATTCTCAGATGCTGTTTCTTTAAAATCCATTTTGATATCATTCTCACGTCTGAGCTTAGTTTTCCCACATAGTTTTTCACTAAAGGTTTGCCTACAAAATTTCCGTATTCACTTCTCACTTCTTCCACATAAGATGACCATCCGTCCCCTTTCATTATTATTGATGTGAGAACCCCAACAATATTCGGTGAAAAGGAAAACTTACAAATGGAGCAGCCCTTAATTATGCGACTTTTTCCGGTTTCATTTATTCCAGCCTCTTATACTTAGATGTGCTTCTCTGTTCTCTGGCTCAGTCTATGTTCATTTCCGGATGTGACAGCCGAGCATACCCGTAAGCATACAAAGTAACAAGTAATAATAGGTGTTTGTATGTTTTAATATTTACAGCTAGATAGCATAGGAATGAAGAAAGAGGTTCTCATTTTAGTGGTAGCAGGAATTCTCGGATTTCTGTTTGTTACTGGATGCAAATTTTATTTATTTTTCTAGGGTCCAGGATTTTCAGAACAGTGGCCATGAGAAGATATATCTCCTGAAATATAACCCTGGACTACATGACATTACATCCCAGAAAATGGAACCCTTTTTACTGTAATGTGTACAACCGTTGCTATGCAATGACCGCGAGATAAGCCAAGAAACAAAGATGATATGCAACCGTTTTCTAAGCAACGGATCGGTAAACACGTTCCCGCTGCAACGAATAATCACACAGAAATATATTTACTGCTGGAAACGGTGTTTGCTACTCAGTCCGTGCAAAGAGGTTATAAGGAAGACAATTGGGGCACACAATCATTTGAGAGTTGAGTTCTGTAAGGGAGGCTGAGAAGAGACGGCGCTATAGTTTAGTTGTGGGATATTCGCCGAAGAGTAACGAAATAAGCAGAAGCTGAAGATTCTCCTATGTTGGGAGCTGTTACCAAGTAACAACTAATGCAGGCACTGCAGTCTGTAGGAGACTTAGCGCATAGCGAATTGTAAATTGTAGAAGTTAGAAATGGAGTTAGAATTGTTCATACTTACGACCTTACAAACGACTCGTTTCTTGTCGTTGTCGTTGTTTACATTCCCTACAGAACGGACAATACTTTGTAAGCTGAGGCACCGACAATATAATTAACATTGATATTACTACATCTACATCACGAGCCTCCAATAACAGTTTTTATACACAAAATATAGAACACTCTAATTTGTCCATGGGAACGAAACAAACCATAAAAACCAATGACTGACTCGATGATGTAAAGCATCAATTGAAGAATTTTATTCTTGTTTTATACTATAACTTTTGTTTTATATAATCTAATTTATTGTATTTTTACGTCAAGTATTTTAATATAATTAATATTTTTGTATCCAATTTTATTAATACTGCAGTTCAGTGGTGTATATATGTTAGCCATGTATTTGCCTGATGATGGCTATTAATAGCCGAAACATGTAGCAGAGCCAAAACCAGGCACTGACCTTGATATAGCTGCGTTGTGACGGTCTTAATAAAGAAGCTATTCACCAATTCATACCTCGTCTATAGTCACCCCTAAATCGTGACATTATTTAGCTGTTACTCCCTAATATACGAACCACGCTGCAATTTAAGATTTACAAAATATCTCTGACTTACGATTTTATAAAGTTGCTCATCTTTTCCGGTTATGAATTTCAGGTTTAAAATTTATGTAACGACACTTATGAGTATGACTCCCTTGATTTTTCTTTATAATTCAGGTCCTAGAACAAATATTAGGTTTTTGGGCATTATCCATCGTCTTGTCTTAATCTAAACACCGTCCTGTTTATTTTTCAAAACGCAACGTTTCGGAGACTGAATTTTTCTCCTTCTTCAGGTAAAACCTACTCAGTTGGGCCCAATCGATATAGCTATTCTCTATTTCCGGAGAAGACAGAATTCAGAGTCTGAAACGTTGTGTTTTGAAAAATAAACAGGACGGTTTTTGGACCATCGTCACAAACTTCTAGAACTCATTCAGGTCCTACAAGTTCTGGTCCTTACGGGAAATGAAAATGATCCTATTTTGAAACCTATGTAAGTTCAGCATCCTTACAGGAGGACACTTTGTCATCAATCGCAGGTTGCACAATCCGGAATTCAGAATACTGAGCTAATTTAAATTTAGATTGCCCCCTTGCTAGTAATTTAATGCCTGCACAGTCTCACGGGAGCTTGACATTCGTGATAAAATCAAGACAGTAGTGTCACTCTATGACAGCGACAGGTTGGAACAAAGTGTGGCAAGTTTATTTACGTTTTCACGGAAACACTTGTCACGTGCGTGTTGAAACAGCGGCAAAGTTGCGCAATTCAGAATGTTTGTGCTGTAAATGTAAAGTCACCGCTGCAGTACCTCTAGGATCATGGGGTCGAACTTCATGCAGCAGACAATGTTCGCTCAGCTGCTAAAGTTTTTTCCCTCTTTTTATGAATCTCGGTCCACAGGTGAGCCACAGGGTCCTGTTTCGGGCTCTCGCGTCGTACTTTTGTAAGAACTATTTTAATAATAAATTTAAAGTCTTATCATTGTGCTGCCAAATTACCAATAAATAAAAAATATTATTTTAACATAATTATTGCCCCGAAATATTTAAACTTGTAAAACAATATGAACTAACCTTGAGAAACTTCTATCTATGTGTTTATTGAAGGATAACTTGACGATAATATTTGAATGTCGAAACATTTTGTAATTATACTGTATTCTGGCGTCTTTAAATTTACCACAAATTGTAATGGTAAATCATAAATTAAGACAAAACTATCCCTGTTAACAGGCCATGGAGGTACATACGGTTGTGAGATGTCGAGACTCTCACATTTTCTTTAAAAATCGGTTCACAGATGGTGGTAAAGTTGTCATCCTTACGCGCCGGCCACCCTTTACCCTCAGGAAGATTCCTGGTATTCATTTCTGTTAGAGGCTGAGCCAATCCCAAGGCCATAGTGCGACTGGAAGGATTAGGTAAATTGCAAAAATCCGCCACATCGGGAATCGAACCCGCGACCTTCTGGCTTGTAGCATAGTGCCTCAACCAAATACGTTACCGCATGCCCCAATGATACGTCATTCAAACTATATACATTTTAATATTAATCCTCTCATTTTACCTGACATACAGATCTTCCAAATGTCCCTTACTTTCCTTTAGATTTTCCGAAAAAAACGTGGAGATAAAACTCCACTTATTTATTGATCTTGGTAGTAGGATTCGGCCCGGGGAAAGCAGTTCTAGCACTCATTGAATGAGTGGCTAGGTGAGCAACAGCAACGACGTGGAAGGCGTGGTCGATAGAAAAAGAGAACGTCCCAATATATATCCCCGATTGGAAACCCTCTCGTCATGACTATGGCCAGTGGAGTTTCTCTTCGTTTCGTTTTCTCTCTCCCTATTTAGTTCTTTATTTTCCCCTGCCTTTCTCTCTTTCTCCCCCGCTCTCTTTTCATTCTGATTGCCCACTTTTTTTTTACGAGTATTCGTTTATTACATTTAGACCTTCAAGAGACCCAGTACGCCCTATCACTACAAAATTGAACTGCTAAGCTTTTATTGTACATTTTCGAAAGTCTGCGAGGCTAAAGGTAACCCCTTGATTTTTTTAGCTGTAAGATAAAATATATTGATCGTATTTGCTTTCAAACATGTATGCATGATCCCTGAATGAACCAGAATATGTATTTACTTGTGCACAATATTTTGTGATATTCCTTCTTTCACATTATGACTTCAAAATGACATTTTTAAAACATGACAATGTTAAAATTGAGAAACAAATAAGGAAACAAGTACCAAATATTTGATTTGTAAGCGCTGCAAAAAAAATATGCTTCGCCAAAAGCAGTTGCAACTTACGGAAGCAGAACTCCGAAACTCCAGAGACTTCTCTCAGATGGGGATCCATTCGGAGTATTCTTCTATTTCTTCATGCAGTCTTTTTGTAACCACCTTCTGCTGTCTTTTGTTTATTTCCACATCCTCTCCGTTTCTAATCCTGTCTTTGTTAACTGTGAAAATTGCTAAAATTTTACGAAGTAAAATATTCTTCAGTAATGAAGAAAGCAGTCTTCTGGGATTTGGCACCGTGTATATGTGGTTTTAACCGACGTTTCAGAGGAACGTATCGCTTCCATCTTCAGGGTAGAAGGAAAAATGTAAGAAATCCTCAAGCGAAGAGACCGTGAGAACCGGTAAAAGTAGTCTGCTTTTACCGATTCTCATGGTCGCTCAGCTTGCGGATTTCTTATATTTTTTCTTCTACCCTGAAGATGGAGGCGATACGTTCTTCCGAAACGTCGGTTAATACCACATATACACGGTGCTAATCCCAGAAGACTGCTTTCTTCATAGTCACCGCCGTGAAAGCCTCAAATCTTACATATTCTTCAGTACTTTACACACCGTATTCGCATATCAATAGCCCCATTTGGCTAAAGCATAACGTATTACACTGCTCTTCAAAAGCGATCAACTTACTGTGTTAAGATCTAACATTATCGAAAGCGATGTTTGCTGAAGATCGAACACTTGTCTCTGTTTGACGGTTTGAATCACTCCTAAACATAATACTTCAAGCTAATATCACTGTAACAGGTTTCCCCTTCTTTCAAACATTTTGCTGTAAATCCTGGATAAGACTGGAACTTCACCGCGATAGCAAGACACAAACCTACTGCATAAGCACTGTCATAGAAAGCACATGTTCTCTACAACTCAGAAAAACAAAATGGATGCTTGTTTCTACAGGTTGGCCACCACAGTGAAATTCTTTTCCCGTAAGAAAATTCCCTATGAGGAGCGGTTTGTTTGAAAATAGATAATTTTACCTACGAAAGTAACACGCAAGTCGAGGACACATGCCCATCTCAGCCCATTGCATTAACATGCAGGGCAAACACGGTTACATGAGTTTAATTCTTTCTACATGAGGTTTCTCTTACGAATTTATTTTTCAGAACGAACCGAGCTGCCACATCAAGGAATGGACGTGTATAAATGTGTATGCCATATTAGACCAATGTAAGGCGTGTTTTCTTTTAAAATGCTGCGTCTTAGGAAAGAGGGATTACTTATTTACAGGTCCATAATTAAAATATGAAGATGATTGTGATGAGATCAGATTTATTGTACACTTTGTTACAGCGCGTGACTACACTTTAAAATTCTCTATTACACGCACACTAGTGTCCACATCACGTCTTCACTAGCCGTTGCTCAATAGCGGCTTCAAACAACGAACTCTCTCCTTCCTCCGAGTTACCGAATTATAGCCGGCCTCAGCTACAAGCATCTCCGGGAACAGCTCAGAACTTGATCTCAGCTTTTCTTTAACTAAATGACTAACTCAGTTACTCACCAACCAACTAACTCAGCTCAACTAAAGGCCGCACCATAGCTCAAGCGGTTAGTCACTGGCTTCCCATCGCGGCGGCCCGGGTTCGATCCCGGGTCTGGTCTAGTGGGATTTCTGGTGGACAAAGTGGCACTGGGGAGGGTTTTCTCCGATTACTTCGGTTTCCCCTGCCAATCTTCATTCCACCAAATTCTCCATCATCATAATCAACCGGGGCAGGCTACAATAGTCCAATCAGTGGCCGCCGTGCCGAGTGGACCCAGCTGGACTCCACCCACCACTAAGAGGAAAAGGAAAAACTCAACTAAACTAACTCTCGCTAACTAACTGTCCTGCTTGTAACATCTCGGCACAGGCTGCACAGAAAACAGGTTTCCATTATTGCTGTATAGGTTTTGCCGACGAACATGCTTGTTGCCCAGCAACGAATTTACGTGCCACACTATATGAGGTATTAAATTTTGAATTTATTTGTTCCTAATAACATTTTCTCCCTTTCTATTCCTGAGGAATGATTGACATATTCAATTTTTTCAAAATGATTTCTTCATTGGAAAATTTTCTGTCGTCTCTTATTCAGTCCGCCCGATATTATTATTTATGCGGCATTTAAAAATGTATATATAATTTTTGGTTTAAAAGTAAAGGATCAATAAAATTCACTATTTTGTAGTTTACCGCCCTCCCTTGAATTATATTAAAAGAGAAGGGAATTCTAAGTGGGCAGACCTTTGAACAATTTAAGGTAATGTAGCACCCCAGTCTCGAACAGAAATCATCAAGTACGTGTATTGCACCAAAGCTGTGCTTCCCTTTAATGAGAACAATATTCTTTTATATTGTTAGTGGGGCGAGACTAAGTTCCTTGTACTGCGGCCACTTCTGGCCTATTGTACCAGCCCAAGATGATAGGTGAGTGTGATTGTGGAGCAATTGGCGGAATGAAGATTGGCAGGGGAAACCGAAGTACTCGGAGAAATCCTGCCCCAGCGCCACTTTGTCCACCACAAACCCCACTTGACCAGACTCCGGGATGGAACCCGAGCCACAGTGGTGGGAAGCTACCGACTAACCGCTTGAGCTATGGCGGGGCCAATTTTTTACACGGAAATTTCTTTTCTAAGAAACACGACGTAACACGAAACAGCATAACTAGAACTGAGCAACAAACATGCCCAGAAATAAACAGGGGATTGGGCCCCTGAGTGAGTTTTCCTCAACCGAAACCTTGAAAGTAATTTCTTTTGAGGGGAGCAGTCAAAAGTCACATAATATTTCTGTAATATAACAAAGATAAGTAAATAAAATTATTGTTTTCTCTAAAGGGTAAGGTAAAGTTGTCCTTGTGCTTAACTAGTTAAGCACTACGCCATGAAAGCGTATGAGGGAGTGGATGTATAGCCCACATTTTCTTGACCTCGGCCATAGTTATACGTGAGTGGTCAGTTTCATGACCCTGCCGCTTTACCCCTGAGGGCGTAGCCCCGGCTCTCCATTGGATAGGATTTTGGAGAGACAACGTGGAGAAGAGAAAATTCTTGACCCTACCAAGACTCGAACTCCGATCCCTGGATCCCCCACTCCGCTAGTCGCTATATCGACTACGCTATCCCGGCTCACTATCTAAGGGGTTGGTATTAAAATATTAAGAATGTGTTTTACCATTACTAATGACCATTTTGGACTGAATTAAGGAGGCTGAAGTTTATCGATTTAAGATGTACAAAGTGGAAGGAGTCTGTCCCACAATAGCGATTTCTTCTGATTCTTGCTCAACAACTACAATATTATGTTTTATGTTAATGTAGTCTGTTCTTGCAGTTAGCAGCCTCCTCTGATTCCCGTTCTTTCACTTATTTAGGAGCTTCTTCTTTCACGTAATTTAGCAAGTTCCTCTTTTTATTGCACTGCATTTTAAGAGCTTTTCGTCATGAAATTCAGCAGCTCCCTCTGTTGTTGTGAGTTCCAGCTTCCCTTTCCTCAGACACATGAACACAACAGCTCACTCTGTTGTTGTGAGTTCCAGCTTCCCTTTCCTCAGACACATGAACACAACAGCTCACTCTGTTGTTGTGAGTTCCAGCTTCCCTTTCCTCAGGCACATGAACACAACAGCTCCCTCTGTTGTTGTGAATTCCAGCTTCCCGTTTCTCAGACCCACGGAACACAACAGCTCCCTCTGTTGTTGTGAGTTCCAGCTTCTCGTTCCTCAGACCCACGGAACACAACATGCTCTCTCTCAAGATGAATGAATGAACGGATATCCAGTCATTTCAGCTTCTTTTTTAATGTTGTTCTTAATTTTAACGCAGAAATGAAATGTAAATTTCATGCATTCGTTTGTAATTTTGATTCCCACGTTCCTAATTACAATACAAATTGTAATAATAACATTTTAGTGAAGACAATGCAGAAGTTTGCATACTAGACAAAACAAAAAGTCAATTTTCCAGAGTGACTTTTACTATATTTTTATAACACGAAGTAAATATACACTGTTTCTATAATAAATATAATTCCTTCTAACGCTATAGTTAGACTTTCCTGTCGCTGTTCATAGGCCAATCATTGATACGGTTTTGAGGTCGGACTGTTTGGTAACAGACAGATATCAGTTGGTACGAGGGAAATCCATCTGTCTGTCTACGGCACACATCCCATTTTCGAGACATGTACCGTAGTATTCACTGCTATTAAAGCTGCTATTGGTTCACTACTCATAACTATGTACACTTAACTTTGTAAATCAAACACAAGCACATGCTCAGTGTAATTTCTTTATAAACGCAATAAATACATCAACTGATAATATCTTACAGCCCAAAAATCATGTTCTAAACTATTCTGACAAGCGGCAACTGGCACAAAATGAATCGAGGGTGGATTTATAAGGCTAAGAATGAGCAGCTGAAACACGCAAGCCTTTGTGTCAGAAGAAAGAATATAAGCAAAGACTTCCAAGGAAACGTGCCCGAAAATACTTGGCTGTGCGTCTTGATATAATTGGAAGGACAGATTATGAGATAAAGGTAAAGGAAAAGCTATCCCTGTAACAGGCCGTGAAGGCCCGTAGGGTTGTGAGACGTTGAGGTTCCCGCATTTTTTCTAGACAGTCGGCTCACAGATGGCTATTAAATTTGTCAGCTTTACGTGCCGGCCGCCCTTTACGCCCAGGAAGATTCCTGGTATTCATTTCTGTTAGAGGCTTAGTCGAACCCAGGGCTATAGCGCGGCTGGAAGGATTAGGTCAACTGAAAAGACAAATTATCTAATCGAGAATTGTTCCGGCTTGTAGCATAGTGCCTCAACTAACTGCGCTACCGCGTGCCCCAATTATGAGATATATTTTACGTACTTATCATCCAAATCTTGATCACTCTCCATCTCCAGCGCTTCGAGAGCGAAGCTCCTTATCTGATTACTACGTCTGTGACATAACTGCATTATAGAATGAAGTAAACGTACTCCTGGAGATCCGATAATTTATTTTCTGTAATGATCTTAATAAGACCACCCAACGTAACATACGAGGCAATTTATTTCCCAACCTTCACATCTCTTGGCTCATGTAGGTCATCTTCAGAACGCAAAAATCTATATTAAAAGAATGTACTTTAAAACAACTTTAAAAATGGCAGGATTCGAAATGAGAGTTCCTATGTTAAAATCCGTTGACAGGAAACGGATAGTGAAGGCACTGTAAAGATCTAGTCATTGTTGTAATCTGTTACCTAGCAACTAATATTGTAAGCAGACGTTGAAATTTTGATGTGTTGTAGTTGAAGTAATCTTCAGTGTTATATACGTAATTACTTGTACTTACGACTTGTTATTATGCAATAAATCGATTCACCAATCTGAACTTCGTCTACAAGTCATTAATACAATTTACTATATACAACAGTGAACGTAAACGTAAGGTACAGTTCCTGTGCTTAATTGTTTAAGCACCACGCCATGAAGACGTATGGGGAAGTTGGAGTATAGCTCCGACGTTCTTGACCTCTACATAAGATGCTGTGTGGTCAGAGTCACGCTCCGGGTCTTCAGAATGTTCATGACGTGCACACCAGAACTTGTAATTAATTTTAATTGATGCTGACGCCTCTACAACAATAATTACGTTGGAAATGATGTTTTCTATTCGGTCCGTGCAAAGTGGTTATAAGGAAGACAAGTGGGGTGACCCAGTTAGTTGACGAGTCTGAGAAGAGAATCCTAGGAAGTTAATGTGCAATGGCCGCCAGCCTGGGAGACAGCTGGCAGTTAGTTGTCCCTTGAGAGTTGAGTTCTACACGGGAGTTTCTGAATATAGAGCCTGAGCGGGGAAGCTGAAACTGATAGAAGTCGTTGCCAGTGAACGGCTGACGAAGACACAGCATGCTGGAAAAAGGCTTTGCGGGTGCTGTGATAATGTGTAATGTGTGCACATAGAAGATAGCGTTGTAATTAATTTTAGTTCCGAGTGGTGTGTATAAGTGATCAATAAATCCATTAATCGATCCGTACCCTATTCACAGTCACCTCTAAATCGTGACAATATTATCAGTTGCGCTGGTGTGTTCTACAAGACCACCCAGCAGAATGTGGTTAAAAAGAAGAATTTCCTCTGCTACCCATGTCACACAGCCAATGCCGCCGGCAAGCGGGCCCCAAAGTGCCGGTCACGGTAGTCGAGCGGTCTAAGGCATGCACTGTCTTCGTTCGCTCGGAAGCCGGGCTCGTGGGTTCGAATCCCACTCAGGGCATGGATGTTTAGTTTGTGTGTGTGCGTTTTTCTGTGTTTGTGTACAGGTAGAGGCCTTGCGACGAGCTGATCACCCACCCAAGGAGTCCTACCGAATGTGTAAGATCTAGATAACCGAAGTGAACGGAGAAGTTCATGGAGGTAGGCCTAGGCCAACTGGGGGAAAAAAAGCGGGCCCGAAAATGGCGTGCATATGAGTGAAAGTCTACAAGATTTAGTGACACTTGTGGTACAGTCGGAGACAATCGCTGTCAAGAGATTGCAGAGACTAGAGTGCTCTTAAAGGCTGTTATTATATAGGTTGTTATGCTTGAGCGTTTAAAACTCAGTCTAAGTTTTCTGAGTCAGTTCGAACATTAGAATCTGGTTCAACTCTCGCTTTGTATAAGGCAGCATATCTACATTCATCTATGTTGTGTTGTCTAGGTAAAGCTCCTAAGTCCTAGCCCCTATTTCAGTGCTCTTTCAAATTGACTGGTTCAATTTATATCGAGTAACTGTTTCTTTAATTGCTAGTGGGGTGAGACTAAGTCCCTTGTACTGCGGCCACTTCTGACCTATTGTACCAGCACCAGATGATAGGTGAGGGTAATTGTGGAGCAATTTGTGGAATGAAGATTGGCAGGGAAACCGAAGTACTCGGAGGAAACCTGCGCCAGCGCCACTTTGTCCACAACAAATCCCTCTTGACCAGACCCGGGATCGAAACCAGGCCGCCGCGGTGGGAAGCCAGCGACTAACCGCTTGAGCTATGGCGCGGATTATATTGAAAATACCTTCAATAGTTTCATGCCGAAATGATCCAGAGAATTTGTTCTCAAATTATACAAAGTTTCAGAATTATCTTCACACTTTTCACATAGGTCAGGAACTACATGACGCAGCGTATTGACCTAGCAGCCTAAAGAACGTCTTGTTGCTGAAATGATTACTTTCTTTTTATTACTCTTTTACACAGGAACTTTGTGGCTGCTGATGGGTGTATGCAGCTTGAAATGCGCAGTTGCAGGATAACTGTGAATGGTGATTTGAGAAGGATGGGCAACGAATTGCCGTCACTTCGTCAAGAAGCACGACAACCCTTGTAAGGACATGCGGTCTCAAAGCCGAGATTCCTCAGGGATCCCCCAACAACGATTCTTGTGCGCTGACTCGTACATGGCGAAATTCGATCAAAAGTCTACGGAACTCGTAAAGTGAGAATTTACGTGGCATAAATATATTTTAAGTTGTAAAATTAATTTTTTGTTGCTAATAAGGAATCGAGGAATGAAGCGATAATGATATAGGCTAACATTCCTTCCAGAGAATTAAATTGGTTTTATGGATATTAGATGAAGCTGTTTGAAAAGAAATCTTGAATTTATTTTGGCAGAAATGGTCCTTACGTTTGCAATATAAGTAAATCGATAGACTTATAATTCCCAGCAGAGTCCATCAGAATTCACCTGATCTTCCGTAAGTAAGGCTTACCTAGAAATTGATGAGATGTTTTGGGGACCATTCTTTTCTGTGTTTTTATACGATCTTTTTTCAAATCACAAGTCGCTCGCGACAAGTATGTTGACGTGTCTTAAGAGTTACAGGATAAAGTATAATAAAAACAACACGTCATAATCTTAGCGCAGTTATTTATTTCACAATAGATGGATATTAGTCTAGAAATTTCATCTCATACTTTTATTGCTAATGGTTTTCTTTAAAGAACTTCAAAATGAAAGAAGCCTTAATTATTGTAAAAGGATGAACAAAGTAGGAAATTAGTTCTGATTTTTGTAGGATTATGAATGACTTGTCATTCCTTTGCTTGATCTTATCTTCTACTGTGGAGGTGTTTATTGCAACTGTACAAATATGTATTTAGTTCATTTTAGAATATGTTTATTGTTGCAGTTCCCTAACATATTTTGTTTAGTGACTGAACATTGACTTTCAGTATAGACAAATATGTAAGAATAGGCAGACTTTTCTTCTAATTGTACTCTTTAATGACAGGAAGAAAATCACAAACTGAGACACCGGGAAGTTTGGGTAATTGTGGATTTTGTATCTGTGTGGGTAAATAATTCTATTTCAGTTACTTTCCCTGTGACTCGCTAAGGCAACAGCGGGATCTATGCCACGCACAAATTCACGTCCATAGTGCCCAATGTCCAGAATCAATGCATAGGCTTCAGTCCGTTCCCTTGTCGCTATGTCTTTGTATCAAATCCACCAAAATTTAGATGTCTTAATGTTTTGTGAGAACTTGCTCTCTGACAAATCACACAAATCAATCTTATCATTCTGTTCTACAATAATTAAAAAAAAATACATTTTTTGCAGCCAATATGCATTGAATCACACTTACACTTATGTTTTATGGAATAAATATAAAATAACCACAAAGCATAACATGAAGAATGCCGTCTTCTGGGATATTGCGTCTTGTAGATAATGTGTAAACCGATGTTTCGGAAGAACATATCGCCTCCATCCTCTGGGTAGAAAAATCTGCAAGTGAAGAAGAAACGTGAGCAGGTGGCTGCAGATGGAGACTATACCTTCATCCGAAACGTCGGTTTACACAATATCTACACGACGCCATATCTCAAAAGATGGCATTCTTCATAGTCACCGCCGTGAAGACCTCAAATCTTGCACAAAGCATAACAATTTATTACTTTCCGTATTTGAAAGAATTCGCTGGTTTTACAATAGAAAATTTGGCCTAAAGTTGTATAATAATATCAGATATTTAATCCAAAGTTTCTTTAAAATAATATACAGTCGCATCACGGTGGCAAACTAGGAAGATATGTTATAGTAACTTCCAATTTTGAGTCTACATTTAGGCTATTTCCGGTGACGCACTGCGCATGATCTGTGTAAAATTTCTTAAAGATCTGAAGTGGGCATAAGACTAATGTTACAACTCAAACAGAATCCTCCCAACTGAATTCGCCTGTGCCTTCATGATGACTTTAATGTTCAGATGAATCACAAATAAGGTACAAATCTGTACCGTGGCAATGTTACCTCATTCGGCAGGAACAGTGCTGCCGTCATTCAAGACCCAAAGATCAGAAAATGAGTTAGGAAAAAGAGCATTTGTGGTTTATCAGATCTTCCTACTAATAGCAATAATTAGTGCAAAGTGGATTTCAAATGACTGTTGACTAAAAATCGGTGTGTGAGTGTGTGTCTTGTTTTCATGTACATTACTATTTATACAAACAGATACAAGTTGACGTACTGTTTGTTGCTGATGAATACAGTTAGTTTTACAAAGAAATATTCTTAATCTCTGTTCTAGGTACTTTGGCTACCACAGCAAGTGAGATGTCCAGTATATAGGAACAGAGTTTTGTAATTTATCATATTTTATCAAAGATTTGTCTTGGTGTTTGGATATTAAGATAGAAAACTGTTCAACGTTTTGCAGAATTTTACTCAGCTCTAAGGTACAGTTCCAACCAAATGACTTACAACGTGCAATGAAAAAATATAATTTTATGACTAAATATTTCTATCAGTTTGTATGATATATTCTAATTATCAAAAAGATGACGTGGAACTGTCATATTGAAGTAATTAGCCTCGATACACATTGTTCAGTTCCTTAAGCATTTAAATATCTAAGAAATGAAGAATATGAAGAGTAATTTATATTAATTTCTGTTTAATACATTTTTAATTTACAATATATTTACTGTAAAAAAGAACACTACTTCTGTTTCATTATAAAATTGATAATATATATCGAACACCTTCACAAAGAAAGGAACTGTAAGCTTCAGGTATAATTGTAGTGAAGTGGAAGATTTACTCACGACACTGTTAATGATTGTCAACTTACAACTGTGCTTGAAAGTGAAGTGTATACGAAAGAAGAAAGCAGTCTTCTGGGATTTGGCACCGTGTATATGTGGTGTTAACCGACCGTTCTCACGGTCTTGTCGCTTGCAGATTTCTTATACTTTTTCTTCTACCCTGAAGATGGAGGCGATACGTTCCTCCGAAACGTCGGTTAACACCACATATACACGGTGCCAAATCCCAGAAGACTGCTTTCTTCATAGTCACCGCCGTGAAAGCCTCAAATCTTACATGGATACGAAAGGTTGAAGGGAATTGAATTCAGATGCGATAATTGCCTGCTACGCTTTCCCGTTATACCAGACACTTAACAAAGAAAACTGCTCATCATACGTCACTACTAGCTAGCCAAACCCACTGACAGGCATGTGTAAGGTAAAAAAGGGTTCGCAGGCCACTAGGGCACTAACGAAGGCAGCTGCTGTGTTTTTGTTTGTAATTCAAATGATACTTCAGTTAATTAAAGCAGGAAAAATTAGAAAACATGTGTCTTCTGCATGTCAGTGAAGAAAACGGTAATACTGCCCTTCATGCTTCGCGTAGTCACAAAGAATCATGGTGTTGGATACTGTAGTAGAACAGAAATTGTTTAGTGGATACGAGAACTATGTATAATTTTTCAGAGCTTAGGATTTCACAGCTTTGAATTTGAAGAGCAAGATCTTATGGTTGTAACTTTCAGGGTCGAGGAATGAGGCAAGCAAGAAAACAAGTTATGTAACTCCCTTTCCAGTGGTAGGTTTAACTTCTGATTTTAACACAACAACCTCGAACAAATGTCGGAGAATTTCATGTGAAGACTACCATTTGATCATAAGTCATTTACATCGGCATATCATAAACATAATGATGTAATATATTTAAAACTCGCTATATAGCTAATTGGTCAAACAAATTGTAAACAACTGGAAATTATAGCTCGTATTTTGCTTTGTTGTTTATTACATAACGCTGTTGTAAACTCATAAAATAAGTCCATAGTTTCTAGTAAATGGATAATAATTTATACTAGAAAGGATATGGAAGGAAGTGGTCATGGCCTAATTTAATGTACTAATCGAAAATTTTTATGGGAAGACCCAGAAAACCACGAAAGACCTCAATAATAATGGCTCATGTCCAAGTCGAGATTGGAACCAAAATTTCATGTATCTTTCCAGAAGTATGATGATTACAAAGTTGTTAAATTTTAATAGGATTCATAACTTAAAATAATCGATACATTTGATTAGGCCGTTATGAGTAGAACTCTAAAATAAAAAAATACTTTCATGGTTCATGAAGACATGCAGACATATAGGGGTGGATGACTGAACAGATATCGTGCAAAATTTCTCACCGTATATCATATTAATCTTTTGGTCGAACTGTACCCCATAGCATAAAATTTGTCACTTCTAATTGCAGAAGTATTATTTCCTTTTTTTACATTTTAAACTTATATCTGTATTAATGTTCTATACACATAACGCACAGGGGGATAGCATATAAGCAGAGTTTGGACATAAGTGACTTACGAAACAAAACACAGTCTGTGTTATATAAACAAACATACTCTTTGGTATAAATAAAAACTGAACAGCGCGTACTTTTACACATAATCCAATCTATAGTACATAATTTATAATATTTTATTTCTTATTTTTTAAATTTTGTTTTTCTTATATATACAGACATTACTTACTGTATCTAGTGTTTAGTTCACACTCGACACTCGATTGTTTCATGTGCTGCACTTTCTCAAAATGGCGGCGATGTTAACCATCTAGAAGTGAGTGACACAGTACTTTTAATTTTATTTTAAGAAAAGTAAGAAGAGAAAGGCAGAGGAGGGAGGATTATGGCATCATATCAGCTTTCTCATCGTCCAAGGAGTACTGCTCCCCCCTCCAACTCCCCTCATTTTATGTCGTCACTACACTTTGTCGGTGATGTCACATGCTCACTGTTACTGTTCGGTTTTACTTCTAACCCGTTCACCATTTTCTCAATACTCTTTAGTTCACTTGCTGTTGTAGAACTACTCCCTGTTGGAGGTGTAGAATTCGCTACAGTGGGTGTCACATCACCTGAAGATGGCGGCGATCTCGACAGTGGTGGGGGTGGTGGAGACGTAACGGATGGCTTGTTCCCAGAAGGTGTGGGACTACTGCTCAAACTTCTGCTGCCAGCATTGGGCAAGATGGCGTTGCTATGACTGTTGTGTAATGAGCCTGGGGTCACAGTCTCGAATGCAGATCCTAGAGGCGACCCGCCTAGAGAGTTAGACGTGGGGGGGACAACAGGTAGGGTATAAGGCGTAAACCGGTGGACCCCTGCCTTCAGCTGGTGGTGCAGTGCCCCTGTGGGGGACCCTGAAGCAGTGATGTGGTGTGGGTGGTGGGCGTGTGTCAGGCCCGCAGCTGTGTACGCCGCTGCATGGCCAAACAGTGCGGGGTGCTGAGCCGCCAATGCAAGCTGTGCATTGAACAGTAAGCTAGGGTTCATACCAGGACCTCCGTGTCCTGCCGCTGCTCCTGTGAACAAGGACAGAGGAGGTCCTGGTGCTAGAAGAGGGTGTCCTCCTGAGGCACCAGGGTAGAACCCGTGGGGGTACAAATATGGCAGTATATGTGGAGGGGGGTGAATTGGTGGACCGACCGAGATATTCGGTGAGGGGTAGTCACTGGATGTAGAGTGATGTTGGCCGGAGGGACCAGCAGTAGAGCTAAGGGTGTCCTTGAGTCCTGGCGATGCACTGGCGGAGGGTCTGAAGGCTGTCGTGGAGGTGCTGCCAGCCCCTACAGACTCCGAACAACTGCTATTGTCACTGTTGGCATCCCTCTCGCTGTCTTCCTGTGGCTGCGTCCCTTGTAGTCGACGCCGCATTGCTTCCTCTGCAGCCAGAGGGTCAGAGCTTGCAGCTGCGGCCGCTGCAGACAAAGAAAACCATGCTAAGAGACGCAGGCGTCCGGTTAGGACACCCGCCCTTGTTTGATAGTTACGAATGTGAAATATAGTGTTCATACTCCAGTGCAAGAATTGCTCCCGATCTGAAAACTTTCCCAGAAATAAAAAACACAGAAACCTTTTTAATTCCTATTTTACATAAATAAATCTGCTTTAAATAACACGCAGTGCTTGGCCAGATATATTCACATATTACTACAGCAACTAAGTAAAGCAAAAATTCGGTTTTCATTTAATTTCTTTGAACTTGCAATTAATTCATTGTACTAGCAAAGAATACTAATATTATGGCCGTAAATAGATCGTTTTAAAATTGCCTAAAAGGGACAGGTTTCGGAGCCCCAACTAAACCATTATTGAAAGCCACGAAGCAGAACCTTTCCTCAGAAATTTATAATCACTCAGCTAGTCATAAAATGTCCTGCCTTTTATGTGGAGGTCTAATGTTTCATGCAAAGAAACCCGTCGTTGGACCCATCCTGAGCCGGTTCAGTTCAATCCATACACTCTCTCCAAATTTCTCTAAGGACTGATTTAAATTGTTTTATTGTTTTATCCTGCTTTTCCTCTCTTTATTCTTTGTTTTATTACTCGGCTTAGTCTTTGACACTGAAGATGGAAGCAGTATGTTCCTCTGAAAAATCGGCGACTTCCCTCGAGTGTACGACATTCAATTCCAGAAGGTAGGTTAGCTTGTCTTCTGATACATAAGCTCCTGAATCCTAAATAACATTTTACCTTCAATTTTTTCAACTGAACTATTTCATCTCTCTCACGTATGCTACACGATCTGTCAATCTTATTCTGGTTCAGTTGGTTCATGCTATTGGAGAACTCTTGTCGACAGCATTATAATTAGTGCGCATGTGCGACACTAAGTCATGCTGCATACCACACAATGTGATGTGTCCCTAGCCCCAGTAAGAAGCGCACAATTGTTCACCTGGATGGGGGTGGTGATGGTGGTGTGCGGAGAGGTGGTGTGGCAGATGAGGGTGCAAGGGAAGGTCCGACGTGCCCACCACGTCCAAAAGTTTCTCCTCGTCAGGGTCCCCGGCACGGTGATGGTGGTGCTGCGTGTCGGGAGGCACGGACGTGGGCCCCCTAGAGTGTTTGCTGCCCCCGTGGTGCTCTGCTAGGCGCTGTTCGTCCTGGTGCCTCTGAGCTGCCAACAGCGCCTGTCTTCTGTAACAAATGCAACCCGTCTTACACTTCGCAGATCACGGGTCATCTCACCAGATCTAATTTCTTCTAAGCTTAGATTATTTAATGATGCGAGACGAGCCGAGATAGGAACAGGTTACGGGCTGAAGGGCCGGGGTTCATTTCCCGGCTGGGGCAAGCAGTATTCAGACCGGTTCTAGGGCTCACCCCGCTTCTTACCCCTTAGGTACCGGGGTTCTTGCCCTGGGGATAAAGAGGCTGAGAAGTGATACTGAAAACTTACATCCATCTAGTGCCGAGGTCAAGAATGGTTGAGCTATATATCCAACCCCACCCCCACCCCACACACGCGTAGTGTTTGAATAATTAAGCACAGGGAAGACTTACCTTTTTAGCCTATTTTCCTTATTTTCAATAGAGTAAATGCAGACTTACTAGATGCCTTGTTTCCCGTGTAACCTCCCTCTGAATTCCTGAAAGACTCATATTTTTGCTAGGCAAGGACTCGGTAAATATTTTCCCGTGACAACAAATACACACGTTGAACACATCGTTTATTAGTTCTTCCCAGAACTTCTTGTTTATAAACTGCTGCTCTCATTGAACTTTCATTGAGATCAGTCACTGAAAAAAAAATATATAACGATAGGTTCAAAATAAGGACAGGTTCAAGATAGGGATGCTCGTCTACGTCATCACTTCCAGAGTGGCCCTGGCATACGTCTGGCCTGTTCGGCATTGTATATCTTAGGCTCTTTCCCGAGGGAGAAAGTTTCATCTAGTTCCGCCCTTAGAAACGCCCAGAGCTTTCGATTCCCCATACGTCTTCCAACGCGGTGCTTAAGCAACGCAAACTTTGCCTTTTCATGCATGTTCACATGATCGAAATGGTCAGTGTCGACTCGCTATATTGAGAATGTCATAAAATAAGATCATCATCATCATCATCATCATCACGAATCATCACTGACAACACGCGCTTCGTATTTTGATCTGTTCTGACTTTAAAAAACAAGAGACTTGTGTCAAACAAACAAAGACAAATCACTACCTAATTCCATTTTCATTGATTGCAATGATATAAAATGAAGGCATTAATTTCAAGCAGTGTCATGAGATATATTTTTTAATATTACATTCCTCTGAAGACTTACAAAATTGACAGTTTTCCCCGAACCCTGTGTAAATCCACTTTTATATTTTCCCGTTAAAGAAACAGTTGAAAGTTAAAATAGGGTACAGAAGAAATGCAGCCATGTTGGCATAACCACTTTAGCCCTCTAAGTTTTGCACTTGTGCTAAATATCGTTCTAAATGAACATCCAGGGGCAAAATACTATGAACCTACTTCACACAGAATTATCGGTAAACCAGGTTTTGTTATAAAAAGTGTGTTGCGTGGCAGATAAAGTCCAGTCTTTGTGCGCTGCACAAACGCCGTAATACATACACGCATATAGCAGCTCGCTTGAAGACAGCACTGATAAAGCCAACAACATCAAATTTTCGTCTTATCCGACTACGATGTTTTGCAGGCGTCTCCACTAAACTTATTTGCAATTCTCCTTTCCTTTCAAATTTACACTTAAATATTTTTTTATTACTACTACATTTAAAATTATGATTTTTTTTTTTCAAAATCGAAACCCATTCTAGCCATTAAACATAAGAAAAGAGTACCGCTGAGTTATGTGGTAGCTAAGCTACGGCCATGTCCTAAGTAATGCCAATTGGGGGTGCCGTTTCATTCGCCGCTAAAATATTTTGCGTCATGACACCTTGACCTGTAGTCCGCAAGCGAAATATACCGAACGAGCTACCGCCGTTTGTCAGCGAAGTTATGTAAACTTTTGCGGATAGAGGGGTGTGACGTGGTCAGCGCAACGGATCCACACGGCCGTTAATCTCTGTTTCCTAGACCGGATTTGTTAAAGAATTAATATATTTCTCTAGCTCTATATCTAAACATGCTGCAGAGGGTCGATTTTTGGCAGAGGAAATGGATTTTTCTGTACTCAGAAACGTCCAGAGCGGCACTGGGGCCCATCCAGCCACCTACTCAATGCTTACCGGGGGCTCCTTCCCATGAACTGACCACTCATCTCTATACTCGTATAGTGCCAAGGTCAAGAATGGTGCAGCAATACCTTCACTCACCACGCGTCTTTATGGCGTGGTTCTGAGTTCATTAACCACATGGAAACTTCCATTGTTTTACCTTAATTTAAAATATGTCTGTATGCTATAATTATTTAATAATTCTGTATTATCAGAATTGACAAATTCACTTTAAAGATGAAAGTGCATTGATGGATTTATTGGAATGTTAAGATCGTCAACGCTTTCGATAAAATCATATCTTTCTCACATACTTACATCACGCCACCATATACCTCGCACACTTACATCACCCCACCATATACCTCACATACTTACATCACCCCACCATATACCTCGCACACTTACATCACCCCACCATATACCTCACATACTTACATCACCCCACCATATACCTCACATACTTACATCACCCCACCATATACCTCGCATACTTACATCACCCCACCATATACCTCGCATACTTACAACACGCCACAATATACCTCACATACTTACATCACCCCACCATATACCTCACATACTTACATCACGCCACCATATACCTCGCATACTTACATCACCCCACCATATACCTCACATACTTACATCACCCCACCATATACCTCGCATACTTACATCACCCCACCATATACCTCGCATACTTACATCACCCCACCATATACCTCGCATACTTACATCACCCCACCATATACCTCACATACTTACAATACGCCACAATATACCTCACATACTCACATCACCCCACAATATACCTTACATACTTACAATACGCCACAATATACCTCACATTCTTACATAACCCCACCATATACCTCACATACTTACATCACGCCACCATATACCTCACATACTTACATCACCCCAACATATACCTCACATACTTACATCACCCACAATATACCTCACATACTTACATCACCCCACCATATACCTCACATACTTACAATACGCCACAATATACCTCACATACTTACATCACCCCACAATATACCTCACATATTTACATAACCCCACCATATACCTCACATTCTTAAATCACGCCACCATATACCTCACATACTTACAATACGCCACAATATACCTCACATTCTTACATAACCCCACCATATACCTCACATACTTACATCACGCCACCATATATCTCACATACTTACAATATACAATACGCTACAATATACCTCTCATATTTACAGAGCCACAGATACGATAAGTGGATAACAGCGAGGCGATGTACGAATTTTTAAAACTTCTGTCGTGGCTGATATGATATGAAACAAAATAAACCGTAAGTATAGAATTTCTATCTATCTAATCTATTTATGGTTCTACAGCCCTCGTGGACCTTGGAGACTTTTTCAGTTTCTTAATCTATACACAATAGTAGGACTCCTTGGACTGGGGGTTAGCCCGCCGTAAGGCGACTACCTACATACAAAAAACACGAACACAGAAGAAACGCACACAGATATCCATGCCACGAGTGGGATTCGAACCCACGATTGCAGTATTCGAGTGGGCGGAGATAGTTCCTGACTTAGACTCCGCGACCACTGCGACGGGCCGGTTTAAAATTAAATGCAAGAACATAATAACCGATCTTCCCTAGTGTCCTGAAGATATAGAATTTCAGCCCGAGTGCAGATTATCTTGATTTTCTTTAGTTCCTACAGTAAATTGTTACGATAAATCTTCGATAGGCCACTACCTAACACTTCCGAATTCCTCCTAAGTCGTCACTCATAATCATTTTTTTTCTTATTTAGAACCAAGAGCCAAAAACGAAGGCCATGTGTACAGTCAACACATCAGTGTTATAGACTGGCCTGCCTGCTGTTATAAAATGTAAAGGCGAGAATAAAACATTAAGCAAGGTTACACAGGTGGTAAAATTTTTTACTTGTAATGGCAAAAGCTGCATTTAGCAAGAAGAAGAATCTTTTAGCAGCAAATTGGACTTAAATTTGTGGAAGAAACTAGTGAAATGCTACATTTGGAGTATAGCTCTGTATGGGGCTGAAACATGGACACTTAGGGCAGTAGATCAGAAACATCTGGAAAGTTTCGAAATGTGGTGTTGGAGAAGGATGGAGAAGATCAGTTGAACCGATTATGTGAGAAATANTATCGAAGGAAAGATAGAGGGGCGGATAGAAGTGACAAGAAGACGAGGAAGAAGACGTAAGAAGATGCTGGATGACCTTGGGGACAGAGGAGGATACTGTCATTTGAAGGAGAAAGTTCTAGACCGCATTAAGTGGAGGAATTGTTTTGGAAGAGACTGTGGACTTGTCGTCTGACAGATTACTGATGATAATGAGTCTAGAGGTAAGCAGTTTGAGTCCCGGCAGGGAGACCTGAACGAGGTGTTCTTGGTTTTACTCAGTTCCTCCAGGCAAAAGTTGCTGAAATTCGTATATTACACAAGGATTCCCTCCTTCCACATTCTTTCCAATTCATTTTTCACTAATCATTCTACCATTCCACGCCATGCCTATAGTCTGAGCTACTGACAGCATAGGCCGCGCCATAACTCAAGCGGTTAGTCACTGGCTTCCCACCGCGGCGGCCAGGGTTCGATCCCGGATCTGGTCAAGTGGGATTTGTGGTGGACAAAGTGGCGCTTGGGCGGGTTTTCTCCGCTTACTTCGGTTTCCCCTATCAATCTTCATTCCCCCAAATTCTGCATCATCATAATCACCTGGGGCAGGCTACAATAGGCCAATCAGTGGCCGCCGTGCCGAGTGGACCCAGTTGGACTCCACCCCACACTAAGCGAATTACTGATAGCATCGTTAAATAGCCATAACTGAAGGAAAATTAGAAGACCGCTTTGTTCACGCGTTTCATAATGCATTTAACAGAAATAGAAGTAACAACGCCGACAACCTTGGAGGACTTCC